GTTTATTTGATTCCTATTCAAGACACTTAAGATAAGATAAGAATAACTATAGTGTTACTATTGGCGGCTACAGATTTGTTTGACATTTTTGGTTGGTGGTGTGCCTCGAGAATTTTCCAATGAAAAAATGTACCTTGGGTCAAAAAAGGTTGAAAAACACTGCCTTAGATCACACTGAGAAGGGTTTCCGTTCCAGTCTGATAACAGTTGTAGTTTAAATCGAGGAGTGCTTACCTGAGAGCCCTCAGACAGAATACAGACGGAATTCAGGCTCTTGGGCCCCCAGGTTGATGGCCAGTCTTTGAGAACATCTTTCACGGCTTTCACCACCTCAGCAACCTCCTGTTTGTTGAACCAGGACATGGTCCCAGCATCCAGGAGGCATTCCCCCCTGACATGATGGAACTTCAGGGCGTGGCCATTCGAGGGAGCGGGAATGTTTCCCGCAGCTCTGATGGCGTCATTTTTACCGACGTAGAAATGAGTGGAGACAAATTCCACGATTTCTGTCGTCGAGCGATAGTTGTCGCTGAAAATAACCCGGCTGTTCTGGGCAGCGTCACACTTCTGGCCTTGATAGTAGTGGAACAAGCGAGTGAGTATTGTGTAATCGGACCGGCGGTGCTCGTCCACTGAGAAAAGCTGAGGTCCCATTTGCATGTGATCGCCAGCCAGCACGATGCGAGTGTTTGGTCCAGCGAGAGCGAGAGCCAGCAAAGCTTCACATTCCAGCATCTGAGAGGCTTCATCGATGAGAATGTGGGTGAAGAACCCCTCTGCAAGCCCTAGGCCATGAAAGTGTTTTGCCATTGATGTGGTTGTTATGACTATGTTGTGATCACGCAGGATGGCCTTTGTCGGTGAGAAAGAGCAGTATCTCAGAGTGGTTTCATCTGTGGCAGCCAAAGCATTCCCATGTTTGTTTGCTTTAATTCGAACAGGCCTCAGGCCATTGTTTGTCTTGCTAATGAATGGATGGAAGTGATCTCTGACATACAGATCTGCAGAGCTGAAAGGCAGAAAAAGGACACATTGGTCTTCAGTCACACAGATTAAAGCAGAGCAGGCAGTCAAGGCCAACGTTTGGAGTACATAAAAGAGCTGATTGTGTCTTGTACATGCTAACAGTAGCAGAAGTAAACATATACTGACATCATAATTATCAGAGGACCATCATTTCCCCATTTCCTCATTTGGTAGATAAAATAGAACAATCACAAACAAAATGTCAGAATTTGAATACCTCATCTTTCTTTTCCCAATGTAACCTTTAAACACACATCATAAACCTGTTCTGTCTATCCGGCCGTTTATCAAAGAGCCCATGTTTCTGTGTCATTGACCACAGAGAGGCAGCTTTTTAAAGCTGATCGCTTTGAAGGTTGCATGCCTAACAGAGTGGAGGCCCTGTGGTAGGCCATGAAAGATAAGAAAAATCACACATGCAAGCTAACCTTAGGATAGCCCAGGATGGACTCATGGATTTAGGCTTTTCACACTGTTCTAAACTAAGCCTCTACAAAGCAATGACAGTGTTGGACCATATGATGCTGGAGCTAAGTGGGTAGAGCATGTGTGTAAGTAAAGGCCATTATCCTACCAGGCTACCTCTCCGAACTGTTCTGGAACCCCATCTCTAAACCACAAAAGAACAAATTTGTAGAATTTGCTTGTATATCCCCTTGTGATTTATCACTGGATTCTGTAGTTTTCCCCATTCAGGCAACTAGGGATTCCAAGATGACTGCTGGTGTGATTGTATGGACACGTTAATACTCATTTGGCTAAGTACAGTGGGGGAAATAAGTATTTGAGCCCTTGCTGATTTTGCAGGTTTGCCCACTTACAAAGAATGCTTATTTTACCTCATCAGATGGTTATCAATTTGTATAAATTAATATGATGTGATTTTCTGGAATTTTCTTTGGGATTCTGTCTGTCACTGTTAGAATGTACATATGATTAAAGTTATAGATCGTTGCATTCTTTGTAAGTGGGCAAACCTGCAAAATCAGCAAGGGGTCAAATACTTATTTCCCCCACTGTATGTATGTTACCGCACGGGAACTGGCACGTTGCTGCATGGGAAAACAAATCAGGACAAATCAAGTCATTTGAATTTTTACCTGTTGGTATAGGTGCAAATCAGCACCTTGTTGTGGGGGTGCTTACAAAGCTCTCTGGCTGCTGTAGCCAGGGTCAAAGTCTTCCCCGTTCCAAAGGGTCCGTAGATGAGGAGAGGTGCCACCGGCTTCTTCCCATCACAGGTCCCCAGGATAAAGTCAACTGCCGACTTCTGCTTCGAGTTGAGCTCACAGGAAACCTTACTGACGGGTACCGCACAGTTTGAAAGGTCTGGTACAACTCTGGACGTGTCGGGAAGGAGGTCTACGGCTTTGTGCATGGTGCAGAACGAGAGGCGGTCCAGCTGGAACTGCACCTCCATTTGATATGATTCACCACTTTTGAGAGCCATATCGGAGCAGCACTGTTTAGACAGCAGCAAATAGATTTGGTTTTTGCTGGTTTTGTGGTGCAGAACGCTGGCCTCGTAGACCTTGGATGAGTTTGGATGACTGGAACTTGAGGGAGCGATCAGGGCCGACCGAACGCTTCTCTTCAGCATCCGGCCCTCGGGGCTGTCCACCGTGAGGTTGCAGGGAATCTGGACCGCGCAGAACAGTTCTCCTCGGGAACCGGGCGCACCGTTCAGCATGTCCGTCACCAGAACTTCTCCACACACGTTCAGCCTGAAACACACCAGGAGAGACATCCATCCATCCATTATCAATACTTCTCCACACACGTTCAGCCTGAAACACACCAGGAGAGACATCCATCCATCCATTATCAATACAGTGATCCCTCGCCACTTCGCGGTTCACTTATCGCGGATTCGCTATTTCGCGGATTTTCATAATG